GCTCGGAGTAGATCTGCTGCTCCTCCACATCGAGAGGAGCCAGTTGAGGTGGCTCGGGCATCTAGTCAGGATGCATCCTGGGCGTCTCCCTGGTGAGGTTTTCCAGGCACGCCCAACCGGGAGGAGACCTAAAGGGAGACCCAGGACACGTTGGAGGGACTATGTATTTCACCTAGCCAGGGAATGCCTTGAGATTCCCCTGGGAGAGCTGGCCCAAGTGGATGGGGAGAGGGAAGTCCGGGCCTCTTGACTTGCTGCTGCCCCCGTGACCCGACTCCGGATAAGAAGAAGAAAATAGATGGATGGTTAAAAACCTGCCTTACCATCAGTTTACCATACAATATACCATACCATTTAATTTGTATAACACATTTCAAATACAGAGCTGTCCAAAGTGCTGCACAGGCAGATACAACAGACTAAATACAATAAAACATAAATAAAAAAAAAACAATAATGCATTGGTAAAACCGCTAAATTAAGACAGATATACAGAAAAAACTGAAATTGAAAACACTAAATACACAGATAAGACAATAAAACAAGGAAACTATCCAACAAGTCACAAGTTAAAAGCCAACTCATAAAAGTTTGTTTTTAGACGAGATTTAGAAATGGCCAAAGAGAGAGCCTGCCTTACAATAATAGGCAGTGCATCCCACAGCTGGGAGCTAGCATGAACAAATGCTCGGTCACCCCGCAATTCATCGCACATCCATGGAGTACAAAGCAGGAGGTGATCTGGTTTGATTTGATTTGATTTGATTTAGATTTGAAGACCACAAGTTTGTAAAACTATGCATGGAATAAAGCCTTCAACAAGCCAAATCTAAAACATACAGCTCAGGATAAACATATCACTTAGAGTTTTTCAGATTTCTGAACCATGGTATTTTTATCTCAGTAGAAATGATGAAGATAAGAAATGGAACTAATTCAGAAAATGTCAGAGTAAGAGAATGCTATTCAGTCATAGCTGTTTGAACCCCCAGAGTGGGACACCCTGCAGTGAACCTGACTCAGAGACCTCTGTACAATAGCAAGCTGTCTACTTTCATAAATTGGCTTTTCCAGTTGCACCCATGCTCTGCCAAATGTTCTCCCTGAGCTTTACTTGTCTTTGTCTCCTGACATCAAAAGACTAGTTCTCTCAATAAGACCAGATCAGTCAGTGCATGAGTTGCTTTGATCCTCATGCAGAACCAGTTGGGAATAAAGTCTGGCCCTCTTGCTGCCTATCAGCATGTCAGAGAAGTGTCTATTTATGTGCTTGACCTTAATAGCTGTGATTGGCTAACCTCCCATTTAGCTCTCTTCCAGCATCCTGTCAATAAGTCAGGAGTGAGAAGATAATAGTTGGACTGTTCTCGTCTAAATCAGGTCCACCTCAGGGAATGGAGGAGTGGGAATTCTCTGTGAGTGACACGTCTTTTACAAATCCTTTTAGTCAAAAAGTGCTTTAACATGAGTCATCAGAGTGTGTGACAGGCTCAGTCAATACTGAGCCAACATGATTCACCTCTAACAGGAGTTCTGTTTCCTTGTTCTACTCCCGCAATCAGGCACACAAGGGGTAGAGCTCACAGAGAGCCAAAAAACATCAAAAGGGAGCAGAGAAAGAGTAAAAATGCACATGATCAAAATGAGAAAAAATATTATAAATCATTATGCAATGCACATGTTTTGTGTCTCATGTACCCGAGGAACCAATTTTGATTTAGTTTGTTTTCCTTCTGTGTATTTGTTGTTGTACTTGTTGATGCACCTAAGACGATATGAAACTTCTTAAAGTTAATTTTTTTGTGTTTATTTTCTAAAACTAGTGGCAATAAATAGAAAATGTGCATCAGAAAATGGAGCATTACTTTGACCAGTAGTAGTAGCCCACTAGCAAGAGCTAGCAGATCAGTCTGTAAAGTACTTTTAAATTCTCCTTGTTTTGATCAGTAATCTAGTATAAAATCTATGGAACGAAGCAGTTTAAAATACATTTTTTACAACAAACATGGTTCTATTATAACTTGTATTTTTTTCCCACATTTTTTTTAATTGAGTGGCTGTGATGGACAGCACAAAAAAGATGAGAATTCATGAATGGAACAACGGAAAAACTTCTTTTTATGGTTCACTGTCATCTGAATTCCATTACTGCCTCACGCTGTGAAAAGCATTTCTTGAAAAAATTGCTTGAAAGAAAATTGGAAATGCAATCTAATGTCAGGACCTAGAATTCCCTGCAACAGGAGCTGCAAAAGTGTGACACGGAGACGGGTCGGATGAGTTCCACAACAATAGATTTCCTTCTGTCTTTTCTTTTTCTTTTCTGTTTTTGTGGGGTTTATTTCCTTTAAAATCAACAATACGTTGCCTTACACAGGGAAATAAAAGAATGAGGCACAGAGAAGAGGCCACACAGAGACACTTTTATCTGTGTTGTGCTGACTTGGCTGAACTCTCCCTCTGAGAGGCTGATGAGGAAGAATGGCCTTGCACAGGAACCAACCGGGTGCATCCATTGCTGTCATCATCATCTGAATCCAAGATTGCTGAATCCACAACTTTGGCCCCCTGCATAGATGGGAAATGACCTGTCTGTGGCCGCCTGACACCCTCTCTGTCTACAGATAAGCTCCCCGTCCTCTGTCTGCAACGACACAGCTCAGCTTCAACTTGCCTTCACAAGTTATTTTATTGCGAGGACTGTCGAGTCATGCTTTGAGCTTGCAATGTCATTTTCGATCCACGATTGTGGAAGTGGCTGATACGGCCAAAGTGTGAGAAAGATGTTTGAAAAGACAGATGGTGCCTTAATGATAAATGAAAGTTGAGGCATTAAATACACCTTTTTATTCCCTTTGCCAGCTGTAACATATGCCTCTTCAGGCATTTGCTTTTGATCCATACGGCTTTCATAAACTGAACTGAGATGGTAGAAGCCTTTGCTGAAATCTGAGATTTGTCAGAAGACAGAATGTGGAAGAGTCGGTTGTGCATTTCTTCCTTAGTGCTTCTGAATTTGTGTGCTTTTGGCCGCTTGTTTGCCTTTGATGTTGTTTGGGGATATTATACAACAGTTTGGTGAAAAGCATCAGTCTAGGCTCTTGGGAAGGTTAAACTAGTTCAAACACTCAGGAAAAAGCTCATGAAGACACTATGCTGACTTTGTTGCTTGGCCTATTTACAGCTCATATTGTTTCCCACTGAATACACTTTTGGCTTTCATCTGAATTTAAACTTAAGACGAAAGCAAGAGATTAAAGCTCATTTCAGCAGGTCACGTACGAAATAACCAAATGCCTTTAAGACCATGACGGGCCATACAAACACACAGCAGACACATGTACTGGTAGCATGAAAAATAAAACTCTTGAGTGCCCTATCCATATTTATGGACAAGTGCCATCACTCCTCCCTCCTCTATTCATTTTCAGTAACTGTAAATTAAATCCTGCAGATGTCTGAAAGAATGCTAAAAGAGTAAAAATTAACAAATATCTTCATTTGACTGAACTAATTATCTGTGATTCAGCTTTCCGTAAGATTAATGTTTAATTAGAAAAATGTAATAAAAATATATCTTGGTGTAACAAATTCAGTATCTTAAATGAAGTCAATAAATTGTCAAAAGTGTGGCTTAGTGTGGACATCACATTTTAATTTGAGCTAATATTAACATTTCTTGCAAGACTGGGGAGTTTTCAGCACTGATTATAGAACGGCAGTCTTTTAATATTGTGTGGCATTGTTAATTATTTTCAGGACTTCACTAAAACCACTGGCTGTTTCGCATTATGTATACTTGTCTGAACTTGTGTACTCAAATCCTTGTGAAAAAAACTCAGCGATGGCCCAAGGACTGTTCCAATCCTAAGTATGCGTAATGGCAAGTTTGCTCAAAGTTCCTGTGTGTGTTCTTGCTTTGCCCATTGTATAGAGGATGCATCAATGCATTCTTCCTTAGGACAGCAAAGTATCCCACAATGCATTGTTTTGCACTTTTTATACTTCGAACATCAGAGAAAAAATCTAATAACTGTTTACTAGAGTTTTATATCTGAAATAATAATGAAAAATTTTTAAGTTGTATGTTATTGTAAATAAATGTGTGTAACCTGTAAATTCATTGTGTGTATTTGGGTTTTACTTTTCAATATTCCTTAAAATGCTAATTAGCTAACCCACTATCAAAATAAGAACAGAGTAGCTCTGTTTTCATGAAAAACACATTTTTTTAACAGTGGAACATGTTGGTATTTTGCCAGTTTGATCAAAAGTGGACCAAATATAATACAACTAATATGTTTTCATTGTTATTTTGTTATTTAAAGAGCAAGTCATCCCTTACGGGAGTCTTAGTCCACTCCCACTTCATGTTTGAAAAAATGCATCAAATGCTGTTGCCTGGCAGACCAAGAGGGCAAAGCCGCTAACAAAGACACACAGGCTCACAATGACATTGTCACATCATATTGTACCAGCTTGCATCATAGTGTACCTCTTTGCCAATGGCGTTAGCAGATTTAAAATCAAATGTAGTGCTGAGTTTTTACCCGAAGACGGTGCAACACTGACAAATTTAAGCAGAATATTTAAATTTGAACTAAGATTCACTAATGTAAAATACAGCATGATTAGACACTCATTTATATTGTTTATCAGAAAACAAAAGTTGATTTGGGGCTGACTTATTTTATGTTAGGTAATTTAACCTTAGCTAGAAACAAGTAGCGCTTGTTGCCATGACGCATTGGAGTACGGTTCTGTTCCAAATGCAATCCACGTCCTCCCGTACTTCGGTAGAACAGACGTCATGGTGTCCCTGCCAAGCACATACTTGTCTAGTACACAAGAATGTACTTGCGTCATTGAGTAGTGAGAAACAGCCCCTGTAAATCCATCATTTCTCAACAGGAAATTATCTCAGATTCAAATGCATTCTTTAATCCAAGGAGCTAAAGTTCTATAATTATTTTTGAAGTTGTTTTTGTTCAAACTTCTCTCCTACAAGCAATGGAATATAACTAAGCTGTTCGATCATTTTCCACAGCAGCGATGGACGTTCCTGTCTTTAAGAGGTGGGTCTACCAGACTCCTGCTTTAGTCTACAAAAGAGAAAGCGGCACTCTTCTGGTCTTTTCAAGTGTGACAGCTGGTGGAACAAGTAGAAAGCTGCTTATGAAGAGAGGAGTCGTGAAAAAATCATCAGATACTTTGTCACTAGAGTTTGACCAGAAGAAAATGGTGAAAGAAGCCGACCTACCCGGACACAGCTCCATCAACCCCTGCCCAGTGTTTGATGAAAAGGAGAACAAACTCTTCCTGTTTTTCATCATCTCCAGTACTGAACAGCAGCAGGAAGAACACCCCTGTCACAAGACTCGTCTATGCTACTTAACAAGTGACAATTTTGGAGAAAGCTGGAGTGAAGTGACTCATCTGACTGCATGTCTGCCTGAACACTGCGTCACTTTAGCAATCGGACCAGGACATGGCCTTCAAACGAAAAACGGACGACTGATCATCCCGACGTATGCTTGCGTGGATGAAAACCCTGCTGATGACAAACCCGTTCCACATGCAGTCGCCTTGTATAGTGACGATGGAGGAGAAAGCTGGCAGTTTGGCAGTTTGATTCAAGATAAATCAGCTGGGTGTCAAATGGCAGAAATTTGGGGAGAAGAAGGCAGGCTCATCTACTGCAATGCTTCTAACGAGAGCGGGCGACTGGTGGAAGCCTTCAGTAAGGATAATGGAGACACGTTTGTCGTATCTGAAGGTGGGAAGCTTACCAACACACCTTCAGGCAATCAGGGAAGTTTGCTCTCTTTACCAGTTCAAAATGCAGCTGCAGTAAGAAGTGATGCAAGCTGCACCCTAAACCAGTGGCTGCTCTTCACTCAACCCAACAGTGCAGGAACGGAGTTGAGAGTGTATGTGAACAAAACTCCATCTGATCCAAATGCCTGGACTGCACCCTGGATACTCAACAGAGGACCCAGTGGCCACTCAGACATGGTTTACCTCGGTGACGGCTGTATTGCATGTATATTTGAGACCGGGGAGGATGAAAGCATCGACAGTGTTGCCATGAAGATCTTCTTCTTCTCTGACATCAAGCCCAACACTGAAGATAAAACAAATGGGCGCCCCTGCATGATTATGTAGACCAGTTAGGTCTACTCCTGATATTTGTTGATTAAAAATTGATTTCACCATAACAAAATAAGTAGTAACTTTTCTTTTCAATTAGTTTGCAAAAATGTAATTTCACAGCATATCTCACAGTTTTTAAAATTAAAACATTCACCACATTTATTGTACTGATTAAAAGCATTCCTTAACTATTTAAGACAAGATAAAATGCAAAAAAAAAATCCTTAACTATTTAAGACAAGATAAAACGCAACTAATAAACAAACTGAGGAAATTAATTTTTCAAATACACACATGCCAAGGATTTCCAGTGACAGGTAAAATGTTTTCCGATTGTTCTGAGATAAATTATTCTAAGATTTACTTTAAAGCAAATTCTGAGTATCCTGTTCACAAACTTGTCCTTTTACATAAATATTTCTCACCAACATCAATTCTAAGTACTCATCTCAGCTTGAAATTTTACATTTTTAATACAAAAACTGTGGTCGACGCTCCATGGTCAGCCACCATCTTGAAATATGATAGCTATTTAAAGACATACGAGCTCCGTGTTATGCTGTGGCCTGAAAGCTCCCGATCTGGAACCAATCGATCACACCAAACCGAACCAAACCATACCATTTTATTTGTATAGCACATTTATATTTAGCATGAGAGCTGTCCAAAGTGTCCAACACCCACAAAAGTGGGTCTTTAAACAAGATTTTAAAACTGCAAAAGAGGGAGCCTGCCTTACAATAATAGGCAGTGCATTCTACAGATGGGCGGCAGCATAGACAAATGGTTGCTCGCCCCGCAATTTATAGCAGATCCATGCAGAGCAAAGCAGGAGGTGATCTGCTGACCTCATAGAGCATGTGGGAACATAAGGGGTAAGCAGGTAAGAGAGATATGCTAGTGCTTGGTTTTGCAATATTTTCAAAACAAAATTCAGCAGCTTAAACTGTACACGGAATGCGACGGAGCCAATGATGGTGTGCAAGGACTTGGATCATGTGGCTTGTGTTCATCAGGAACCTATCAGCTGCATTATGGACAACTTGCAGATGATATAATACTGAGATAGGAATACAACTGAGGAGCATGTTTGTATTGTCTGAGAGGGAGATAATGAAGACGTGAATAACTGATTCCAAATGCCTTCGCTTCAGAATAGATCTAAGATGAGCCAGACAACGTAGCCTAATTGATAAAAACAGGACCTTGCAACAGAGTTTATCTGAGAAACCATTGATCTAAAATGTATGATGAAAAAAAAGGGACAGCATAGCCGGAGAGAACCCAGCAGAGAAATGAAACCCAACAAGTCATCATCAGTTTCTATTATTGTGGCTGTACTTCACACAGGGGTTGGAATCCAGCTGCAGGGCAGCAGATGGACAAATAGATGAATAAAAGATAAAGAGACTGGCAAACAGATGACCCACGCCTGAACTGCCTCACATGGTCATCACACCTAAATGATCTGCAATTTTTTTCAGGACTACAACTATTAATATCATTTAAATAAGCGTTTAGATATGAATACAAGACTTATCCTAGAGTCAGTGTCTATTCGGCTTCAAACAGTTTTGACTGTCCCAAAGTATTTCTGTTCCTGTGAACATTTTTTATGATGGGTATGTGTCAGTCAAGTGATTTCATTGTTGTAGCAGGAATAGTCCAACTCAACCCAGTTTTGAATGCAAATGTCCAAAACCTAGATGTCAGACATCACTGGGTTCTTCCAGGTAATTGTCTGATTCTGATTTGTGTTAACAAGGTTGACGAGGTGAGGCAAAAACAGTGGCTGATGTTTATAGTACATAAGGAACACTCGTGTTTATATCTAGAAGTAAAAGCTTTGAAATTTACTAAGCAAGTGAAACATTGCTCCAAACAAAGCTAGGAACCTGACATATTTTTTTATAATCTTTGTTTTTTATACTCTCTCCTCTATTAGGCAGGTAGTTCAGTCACACCAGCACGTCTTCTGTGTTTCATATCTTTTTGTCTAGATTCTATTTCTGATCTTGTCTTTGAAAAACTTTAATTAGGCATAGATTTTAATTAAACCTTCTGTTTACTCCCTGGCTACGGCTCTTAATTATGTTTGATAAAATCTAGCTTCTTTCCCTTCTTGTTGCTGGCTCCTTTAAACATTATACACACTTTTCATAGAACCAAGACTACAGACTGAGAAAAGATATAATCAGTACATTAAACAGATTCCTGTTGTCATCCCGGCAGATTCTGCAGGAACATTAAAATCTAAGTGTTGGAATAAAATAGGCCACCCAGAGCAAGTTCCCTCGACACCGTCTGTGTTGCACTTGGTTGTACTTGGTGGTTTAAAATGAAGAGTATGATTAATTAATGAACATAGGCTATTAAGCTGACAGCCCTTTTTGTCAGTTTTGTTCTCTTTTCCCTGTTGCTTGAGGTAATAAAAACAAAAACAAAAATTAAAATAAAATAAAAAATGGTTTCAGAGCACAAGGGAAAGTGCATTAAGGTGTTTGGCATTCTTGTTTTAACAAACACACCAAAGGTAAAGTGGAGATTTTTAGAAAGTGTACAAAACATTAACTTCTTTGTGACTATGACTACTTTTCTCCCTCCTTTATACATGTAGGAAGGAGAATTACAAGGGTGGTCGGTCTTTGTGATGGCAGCAGCCTACAGTGTAGAGGGAGATGAGATGAGCAGATGGTGAGGACTTCTCAGGGTTTATTTCAGAGTTCAGTCTTTACGGCTCATATATTGACTTAATTATAAGACAGAGGGGGGGGGGGGGGGGTGAACTCCTGAAAGAACAATAAAAAGAAGCATGGAAATTTTCATCAGGTCCGCAAGGAGAGAGCATTGTTCATTGAAATGACTTTGCTTTATTCATCAAAACAAAAGTGATTAGTAATTTTGTTTGTTAGTAGATTTGCACAATTTGTTCAAGGATTAGAAACTAAAATGAATATATGAATGTTGTCTGAGCACGTTGGAAATGAAACTTTGAGTAAAGACAATACAACCCATTTATGTTTAAAGGTGAAAGATGTAAGAATTAATTTAAAATGACACATTGTGGTAAAATTTGGTTTCTGCAGCTTGTTTTCTAAACAAATAGTAACTATCACCGCCGCTCTGTGAGTTTCTTGGCTGTTGCCAGTTACTGATCAGTGTCAGAAGATTCTCCATCAAGAGCTAAAAAGAGTCACACGTGATAATTTTATAAGGAGTATATCTGGTTTTAGCACTATTGGGTGTTGGGTGTCTTGGGCATTAGAGGAAATGTGGATATTGCCTGTAAAGGAATCTCCTACCATCTTTACGCAGATGACATCCAACTGTATATCTCCTTTAAGCCCCATGAGATGTCTAAGCTGCAGCTGTTACACACCTGCTTAGACTCTATCAAAACCTGGATGCTGGGAGCTTTCTTCAGCTGAATGAAGATAAGACTGAGATCCTGATCTGTGCTCCAGACAAGCTGGTTCCCAAAGTCAGAGACTCTCTTGGTCAGATTGCTTCCCACACCAAACCCTCTGTCAGGAATCTTTGTGTGACCTTTGACCCAGCTCTCACCCTGGATTCTCATGTCAGTTCTCTTGTTCGCTCTTCCTTCTTCCATCTCAGGAACATTGCTAAACTTAGTCCCGCTCTGAACTTGTGACAGTTATCCACATCTTCATCTCCTCACGCTTAGACTACTGTAACTCTCTTTTCACGTGTCTGAGCAGAACCTCCCTGAACCGTCTACAGGTGGTTCAGAATGCCTGTGCTCGGCTACTGAACAAGTCCTCCAAACTCACCCACTTCACCCCGCTTCTCCTCCAGCTTCACTGGCTGCCAGTCAACTTCAGGGTTCATTTCAAGATCCTGGTTCTGGTCTATAGGGCCTTACATGGACAAGCACCATCATACATTGGTGATCTTCTCAGTCCCTACACCTCCAGCAGGTCCCTGAGGTCCAGTGATCAAAGCCTACTGGTTGTGCAGCACCAGGCTAAAGACCAAAGGTGACAGATCATTTGCTGCTGTGGCCCCCAGACTCTGGAACTCTCTCCCCCTGAGCCTGAGATCAATGGACTCAGTGAACTCCTTCAAAAAGCAGCTGAAGACTCACCTGTTCAAGCTGGCTTTTGTATGACCTTCTTCACCACTCTCTTTATTCTGCTCTCCCCACCTATTCCACCTTCCTCAGGATCCACTGATTTCCCTAATCTATTCACTCTCTCTCTCTTTCTTTACATTTTTTAATCACAATTGTCAATTTTTTGCTCATTTTAAATATATTTTTAACCATTTTCTAAATTCTTTTTTTATTTTTACATTTTTTGTTTTTGTGAAGCGCCTCGTGATTTTATCTTGAGAGGTGCAATAGAAAACATATTTTCTTCTTCTTCATGCTGCTAGCTTGTTTTTATAGCTCTGAATGACTCATTAAAGAAAGTAAAACACCGCAATTGACTCAATTTTACCCCACACACACACCCCCACCCACCCCCAGACACACACACACACACACACACACACACACACACACACACACACACACACACACACACACACACACACACACACACACATTTCACTGTAATACCAAGTTGTTGGTAATTTTCAACATTGCTTGAGGTTTTTTTTTTTTAGAACAGTCTGTTTGCTTCTAATTCACTGTAAGCATTGCTACCCCTTCTTTCCACCGGAGCCGTCATCAGCACGTTACTGCAGCAACACGTCTTGCTCGCGTAAACTGCTGCTTGGCTCTTCCCACGAGAAGCGAAGCAGCAGGGGAGCAGCTGTCACCGACACAGCACGAAGTCACATGAGTTACTTTGTCAGTAAACACAACAACAAGCAGGAGAAAACTACAACATGGCTCCAAAAGGTTTGTGTTTTATGTTCTGTCCATTTTATAATCACCAATACGGACCTGAAAAACAAAGGAGACCGCTAGCTAGGTGATAGCTTCTCACGGGGCCGCACAGTTAGTAACTTCTCTTAAAAGTAAAGCAACCAGAAGGCAGTACATTTCTTTATTCTGAAAATCTCGGAAAGCTTTGCTCCGTTTTCGCGTCCGATTTCCTGTCT